CAATTGCTGTTCTTTGACCATTCAACTAATCCACATGTCATGCCACATCATTTTTAATATAAACTCAATTTGTTTCCCAATACAATGAGTCCTGCCTTAACGACTGGTGCAAACTTCAAAGGAGTGAGGAGGGACGACTGACTGGATAAGATTTTTGTAACCAATTAAAGGTACGACTAAACATGAGTTGCAAATTTGTCATCTAGTACTAATGCACAAGCCAATTTGACCAATATTTAAATTAGTTTTACGTAAATAAATATAATAAATTTTACAGTGTGTGGTCTAATTCTGAAATTTCTAAATACACCCTAATATATATATACACACTTTAAATTTTCTTCAAATTAGTGTCTAAGTTCATTCTCTTGCAAAATATTTTTCCAAGAATTGAAGTCGTCCAAACGGTACTTAAAATGACCACAATGAGAATGGCAACATAAAGAAATAATGGGAGAAATAAATATATGTGTCAGGAATATAGTAGACATGCGCTAGATCAAATATCATATTTGATGATTTAAACATATTTTTGTGAACATTGTTTGATATAAAATATGTATGGCATTTGATATTCTTTTATCATAGTTATTATTAATTGCCTGATTAATATAATATGGTTCTTTATTAAATTTTGTGATTTGTCATCGTGCTGGAGATCATGATAATGAGAGAAAAGTCTATTACAATTTAAACTAAATTTTGTTCTTGATTGTAGGATTATTAATTTGGACATTAGTAATCCGGTTAAATCAATGTTTATGTGATCGTTTTTATGAGATAAAGATTAGTTGATCTCATTAACTAAATTACATAGATAGATGATGTATATTAGAGATATGATCATTGAACCGACTCATTAAATAATTTCTAATGATTAGAATTACCATAAACTGTCAATAAGATATTCTCTTGAAGAATGTGATGTAAAAGTTTCCTTTAATCTGAGATCGTCATAGTAATTAACAAGTTATTTATTGTGCTTTGATACTAGACACCTATGGCCCTAGGACGATAGTTGAAAGGATATTGGGTACGACTGAATACTTGTAAAATTAGTGATCGATCAAGATAGAATCTGTCAACTCTTGGTAATGAGTTTAAGCTCTATGTTGTCATGAATTATAACGACAAAACTAAGACCTTGACCAGGCAATTGAATGAAAGAAGAAAAGAGTTTCTTAGGTCATTCAATGGTCGATTATATTTGACATGAACACACAGTTGGTCGCCTGTTAGGATTTGACAGTTGAACCATATCCTAGGGTGATCTAGATCTATAAAGACAGAAAGAAATACTACATTATTCTTCTGTGAGTTTTTGAGAGTAAATTGTATACTTCATGCTATCCGGTCGTTAAAGAGTTAGACACCACCCTTGATTAATATATTGATGTGATCAATTTGCTACCAGTTTAGTATTGAACCTATGGGGTCGCACACTAACGAGTGTTCTGATCTTTGCTAAAGGATTAATTAAATTATTTGATAATTAAATTAAAGAATTTAATTAGTCAACTAAATTAAATTATTAGTCAAAATAAAATATTATTATATTCCTTGCTAGTACAGGGGGTATAATTAATATTGTGAACAAATTGAAGTTTTCTATTTAGAATAGAAAATTAAATTATATCTCTTGGTTGAAATATATATGTGATATATATAATATAAAATAAGATTGATTTATATAAAGGGTATATATATAAAATTAATTCACTCTTACCAATTTGGAATTGGAGATGAAAGTCCACAAAAGGACCATGACGTACACGTAATTCCCATTAGGAATGGGATATACATTTTCATTGAAAAACCTTTGTGGTGTCTCATTTGGAATTGGACTTATGGAAAGTCCATAAAATACCTTCGGCAGTCACCCAGGGAAACGTGATTCGATTTTTCCATAAGTTTGTTTTTGAATTAAACTTTTATCCTAAGTAAATTATTACCTCAACTAAATAAAAAAAGAGTTTATAGGTAATGTTATATAAAGGGTTATGGAGAAAATTTACCTCATTAATTCTTGAGAAGAAAAATACTTTGTGAAAAGGAGAGTGCAATACAAAGCCAGGAGAGAAAATACAATTACAAGAAAAATGTTTCTTGTTCTTCTAATTTGAGTTGAGATTTTTGAGAAAAATTTTAGCACAAGTTTTTCGTTCAATTTATTCGCGGGTTTCATTGATCAAAGAGTTGATAGCAAGGATCGGTCTCGGTGTGAATACGTAGAGTCTTCGCACTATCGAATTTTTTTTGAAACGAGACTCTCTTTACCAGTTACGTCTTAGATCCAATCTTTAACATGTAAATAAATTTTAAACACGAAAAGATCTGCCTAGGATTGTTATTATCTACCGCTGCGTGTTACAAACACCTATATGCAATCCTTCAATATGTTCACTTTTGAATTAAACAAATAAAAATTTATTTGCTATTACGAAAGGTTAGTTTTGTCATTTTACTAGTTAAACTGTATCTTTCTTTTTATCTCAGCCCTGGTTTCTAAAGATTTTCAGTGAGGACCTCAAGGAGAATGGAGGATCTATCTAAAATGGGTAACTAATATATCATATACCATCTCGTCCTGATTCTATTCGAGTTTTCAGGCTTATCTGAGCATATGTTTTGGTACTTCTGCAGCTGAGCAAAAGAAGAGAGAAGTTGCTGAGCTGATCAAGGATGTGTCCAAAAACTCCGAGGTTTTAGCTGTGAAACATTTAAAAGTAACTGTAATGTGCGTCGAACTAATAATTAGTTTACTAACTGATATTTGTTTAATTCAAAAGATATTGAATTCTTTTTGAACAAATAAATCAAAGATGAAGGGGTAAATCTTAATCAGATATAATAAATTCCAAATCAAAGAGCTAACAGTACGGATCATATGTAAGATGAAGAAAATGTAAATGATCTGATTGAGATTCAATATTGCGTCTCCCATCAATCGATGAGGAGACAACTTTACATATTTTTCTGGAAACTAATTCCCCTCTCTCAAGAATATTAGGAGAGAGCTTTTTAGCTTTTTAGAGAGAGATTAGAGGAGCCCCCCCTCCCCTTGAAAGTTTTCCCTTGCTATATATAGTCGTGACACCCTTGCCCTTTGCTTGGCCCGACGTCCTCTTGCCTCCAATGTATCTTAGTCGTACTTTTAGGCGCCGCTGTCGGGAAAGGGGTATGGAGTGGGCTATACTATCTTTCGCTACCCGGTCACTTAGGCGGAACGTTGGTCAGCTTGGTCGTGACGGTCAGATTTTGACCAATACAGTTAGTCCCTCCGTCTGTCGGGGTCGTCCTCTGTCGGGCTCGGCAGACGGATCATGAGTGTTACGAATTCGAGCGAAATCTGACCTTTGACTCTTTGTTCCTTAGTTATATTTCTTGGGTTTTTGGCGGAGTGGCGGCGTTCTTTTGATTCCTATGGACCGTTGCAGTGGTTTCAGAACCGAAACGTCGTTTGGTATCAAAAAATTGTTTCGTGGTTACCGCCATTATTACACACGTTCCTAGGAAAAAACATTTCGTGCCCTATCAGATTCAATTAACGACTCTTGAGTTTCGTGCTCGGGGGATTTATATCTCTTATAAATAGAAGAAGCCTATCATTCGATTGACACACTTCTTCACCTTTTACTTGAGAGGATTCTGTAGATATACTTTCTTTCTGATACCCCGAGTTTCTGCTTGTCCTCTTGTTCACTAAAAATTTTCATCCCTTCTTTTCTTTATTTCTTTGGCGTGTCTTTTGATATAAATGGCTGGCGATTTTTCTCGCGCCGATCTCCTTGTCACTAGTCCGGTACCGGAAAGCGTTGCTCAGGCCGTAGGAGGGGTAGAGATGGTGGAAGATGAGGAGATCCCATCAGCGATTGAGATCTTGCCTCGCCCTGGGAGAGAGTTGACCGACTTCCGTACTCCCGCCGGGGTTGAACTGGAGCCTGTCCACTCCATTATGAGAGAAAAGGACATTGCACATTTGAAAGAAAGGTGGGGAATCCCCAATTACGTTGATATGCGGCCGACAGTGGGGAAAGACATAGTTATTTCGACCGCCCTTGGTACTGTGTGTTCTATTGCCTACCCCTTCCTTGTAGGGTACACACTTCCTCTTCCTTTGTTGGTGGTGGATTTTTGCCGTTTTAACGAGGTATGCCTCGCCCAACTTTCGCCGTATTTGTAAAAGTTATTCCTTATGCTGCTTAAGTACGCGGAACTAGCCGGACGTGAGGTCACCCTGGACCATATGCTCAGCATCTTCGCCCCTCAACTTATTCGCGGTACGATGATTCACATGCGTCCTAGGGGGTCGAGGAGTCTGGTGGTAAATATGGACAACAGGACCAACCGTCGTTTCTACGATAATTATTTTTACGTGCGGACTGAGCACATTGTGGCGGACCCAACGAGATTCCCTGAGAAGTGGAACTTTGCGCATAAGTTTTTGTATCTTTAGTCGGTGAGTTGCCCGACCGTTTTCTGTTATGGTACTAAACTTTATCATGTCTTTGCAGATGAGAGATTGCCCCCTCCGCCCATCGAAGGTATTCATGACTAGGTGGGTGCCATCCTTCCCCATACAGTGGGGATTCGCACATGGTCGACCTTTCATGACAGGTTCGGACGCAGGCCTCTTACAGGTGAGATGACATTTTTGTCTGCTATTCTTCCTCTCTTTTTACTTGGCTACTTATGTGTTGTTTGTCGATGTCAGGGAGAGTTCGGAGAGCAAGGGCTCCTCCGTTAGCTTTTCGTCAGCTGGCCTCATCTGCTCACCCTGTCGTGGTACCTATCGCCCGACCTTCATCGATGGCTGCTTTAGTTGAGTCTGCGGCCTTGGTTACTCCTACGAGGGCTACTTCTTAGGACGAGGTCCCGACCTATGTTGTTCGCCCGACGGTTGAATCACCGTCTACTGGGGAAGAGGAGGGGTCGTCGAAGAGACGGAGAGTGGAGTTTGAGACTGCGCCTCCAACAGTGATTCATCTGGACGACTCTCCCACGACGGGCTCTGGAGAGCGTGTTGTCGTGGCTCCCCCCGTAGGGATGGAACCATCCATTGTTTCGGCTCAATCAAAAATTCCTGCCGTTATCGGTGATCAGCAACCTATTATGGAAGAGAATCAAATCTCCAAGTCCGCCGTCATAATTTCGGATGTACCCTCATCTTCTGTAGTTGGTCTTGCTCCCCTTTCGGCTGTCGAAAGAGGGAAAGGCGTGGTGGTCGACGATTACGAATCCGAGTTGGACCTCGACCTTGATGATGTCAGGAAGTTTGAGGAGGCCCTTACTTACTCGGTGGTTCATGTTAGGGGCTCGGATCGTATTCTTGAGATCCCTTCGGACATCAATCTCTTGGGGGACACGGAGGATCTGGTGCCGTAATTCAGCATGTTGTGCTCTGAAGCTGAGAACGGACCTCCGGTCTGTTCCTGATGTTGATCTGATGGATGAGGTGGTCGCTATGGGCTTGAGGGTACGTTTATGCTCACTTTCGCTTTTTCCTAGCCTTTCTTGATGATACGGTTTTAACATGTCTTTGCATTTTTCAGACATATATGGTGGAAGTGGAAAGCATTCGCAGGGCCAACATTCGGGCAAAGATTTTCTTGAAGATGTAGAAGTATCGTAGCTACCGCAACAAGTTCCGCGAGATGCATGAGCGGCTGAAGGCAAACCCCAGTAATCGGTCTCTTGGTGAGGAGTTGGAGAAAAGGGACCAGGAGTTGATGCAAGCTATCCGCAGCAAGAGTGTGCTCGAGGAGCAACTTCAAATTAAGGATGAGGAGATCGAGTTGGGCGAGGGGGTCACCGCAGAATGTGAGCATCTGCATGAGAGATTGAGGTCTATGTAGGCGAAGATGGATCAGAACTTGATCAAGGTCGAGGCAATAAGCGTGGAATGGATAGGGAAACTGACCGCGCTGGAGAACAAGGCGCTGGGTTGGAGAGCATCGAGGGTGCTTGGTCCGAGGCTTCATCGAGGGCGGCGGCCCTGGAGAATACCATCCGCGTCCTCCAATCCGAATAGGACTCGGAAAGAGCAATGTCTACCCTCATGGAGGCAAGGCTCGAGGAGCGCATCAGCGAGATCGATCAAGAGGCATAGGTTCTGGGAGATCGGGTTGCAACATTGGAGGCAAAAAATGGGTGACTGTTGGCTCAGATGGAGTCTTCCTCCACCGCCGTTCCCCGCCATATGCACGAGCTTTGGGTTTACGGCGAAGCCCAGCAGGATATATATAAGAGTTTTGGGAGGCGGGTACTGTGACTGAGACTGCCTATGAAGAAGCGCGAGTGAAAGCGCGGGAGGCTCGCATAAATTGTGGGTATGATGCGGCGACGCCTGAAGCTAATGGGGGTGCGGATAATGGTAATGGAGGGCCTCTTGGAGATGGTGATGGCGCCGAATGAAGAATGTTGTCCTTGCCTGTACTTACTTTCAGTTGCTTGTATGTTTTTGTTTTTTTTATAATTGTTCGTTGTCTGTTGTCGTTGATTCTTTCCCCTTTCCTTTTCATTCCTCTTTCTTTCCCCCCTTTTTTTATTGTTGGCTTGGGCCATATGTAAGTGGCGATAGTCCGCACAATGCTTTGTATAAGGGAGAGTTTTTTCTTCGTTATTTGCCTTGTACTTCACCTGTATTCCAACTATTTATGGCTTTGGTGCATGATAGGCGTTTGTATGGCGAGTCCCGGTTTTTCTTTCCTTCTATTCTTCCTGATGGCTTTTGGCCACAGTAATTCGAACTAATCGAAATAGTGGCTCGTCATTATTCCATCAAGGTCGAAACCTTCTCTTTCTGGTGAAGGCCCCTGGACTTAAAGAGTGTTATTTCGAACTTGTCCAAAATAGTAACCCATCGTCGTTCGATCTAGTCGAACTATTCTTTTTTTGGCAAAGGCCCTTGGCCTTAAAAGGTGTTATTTCGAAATTATCGAAATAGCAACCCGTCTTTTGATCGAGGTAGAACTCTTCTCTTTTTGGAAAAGGCCCTTGGCCTTAAAGGGTGTTATTTAAAACTTATCAAAATAGTAACCCGTCGTCGTTCGATCGAGGTCGAACTCTTCTCTTTTTGGCGAAAGCCCTTGGCCTTAAAGGGTATAATTTCAAACTTATCGAAATAGTAACCCGTCGTCGTTCGATCGAGGTCGAACTCTTCTCTATTTGGCGAAGGCCCTTGGACTTAAAGGGTGATATTTCAAACTTATCGAAATAGTAACCCGTCATCGTTTGATCGAGGTCAAACTCTTCTCTTTTTGGCGAAGGCCCTTGTACTTAAAGGGTGTTGTTTCAAACTTATCGAAATAGTAACCCGTCTTCGTTCGATCGAGGTCTAACTCTTTTATTTTTGGCGAAGGCCCTTGGCCTTACAGGGTGTTATTTCGAACTTATCGAAATAGTAACCCGTCATCGTTTGATCGAGGTCAAACTCTTCTCTTTTTGGCGAAGGCCCTTGGCCTTACAGGGTGTTATTTCGAACTTATCGAAAATAGTAACTCGTCGTCATTCAATCGAGGTAGAACTCTTCTTTTTTTGGAAAAGGCCCTTGACCTTAAAGGGTGTTATTTCGAACTTATCGAAATAGTAACCCGCCGTTGTTTGATCGAGGTCGAACTCTTCTCTTTTTGGAAAAGGCCCTTGGCCTTAAAAGGTGTTATTTCCAACTTATCAAAATAGTAACCCGTCGTCGTTCGATTGA